AAAAAAACTTATGGGATAATAAATTAATTAGTCCTGAATGTACTACAATAATTCTTTTTGTTTTTACTGCAACAGTTTAATATGGCTACCCCACTGAAAAGTATTTGTGACATTGGGGTGGGTCATGGTAATAAAAGTTTTCTACTGCAGATTTTGAAATATTTGCATTGTGTTATTTTTAGAATTCAGCAGAAAGCAGCACAAGGGGATATCAAAACCACACATAAAAAGTCTGATATCTATATTGCTTCATTTGATTTTTGTTGAAATGTTCTCCATGGAAAGTGGAGAATAACACTGATGATGTATTTAATAGGTTTTTCTCTCTAAAAAAAATCTTGCCTTGAAAAATAATTCCAAAGATTTGCACCTCCTACAGAAGTTTACATTATAAGCATCAATCTCTAAATATGTTTTATGGATTTTTTAACACACATGGCAATTTGGCTTTGTCATTAAAACTATACTGTATTGAAAACACAGATTTGTTCTTTGCCCATAATCTTTTTTTTAAAAGATTATTAGCTACATTTCAAATGGAAGAAGTTACTTTTCTCACTTTTGCAAAATAACAGTGAAGTAATTACATTGATCTAATCCCTATGGCTGACTCGTTTTAAACATTAGCCAAACACTTTCTAAGAGATGTGGGTGAGATAAACAAAAGGTGCTAAAAATTGTCAGTGAATGGTTAAATCTTTGCTACTAGATGACTTTACCATATATAAACTTCCCATGCACCTTTCTATTTTTAGCAAATTTGAATGCACTGGATGTTCTATGAACCACACCAGATATCCACATGTAGTCCTGTATCTTAATCAATTTCTTGGAGGAGGAGGAAGAAGAAGAGGAAGAAGGCAAAAAGATAAATTGGAGGAAAAAAGCATACATGGGGCAGTTACAACACCGAAGCTGCTGATTTCTGTAGAATTTCATATTTTAAGTGAGGGCAAATGTTCTACAAAGGCTCACCTTTTACAGAGACAGTATAGTTAATATTTAAAGTACATAAGTTTGACAGAGGGGACCTGGCTTTAAATCTTGACTTTATCATCAAGCTTGCTGGGTTGCCTTATGACTCATTATCTCATAATTTGCACTATCTTCCAGGATTCTCGTGGAAATAAAGGAGAATTGAGCTCTTTGGAGATGATAGGGTCTTACAGAAAGTTTGAAAGTTTCAAATCAGATCAGTCTCAACTAGGACAGAATTCTGCAGCTGTAGGACTGTGTTCAGATGCCAAGAGAGCATTTGTGCTCTTTGTGTTACTGCCAATTAATCTAGATTACTCCAATTATTCTAAATAAATTAAAGTAGAGTATCACAGAACTTTCTGGGGTGGGGGTGGGGATAGGGGTGGAATAGAAGGATACTGTTATATTCTCACACTCAAAATGGTGGGCACCCCAAAGACATGTTTCCCAGGGTTTTGATTTGGTTTCCCTGAAATACATTGTAGAAGATATGCTGCTTTTAGACTGATAGAAAGCTCCAAAGCTTTGCATAAGTATTGTTTCCACGGCTTCATCTTGTCTGAGTTTCTCCCAGCTACCACAAGATGCTCCTATTGGCCATATCCTTCACAGATCAAATTAGTACATACATTAGGGAGAAGAAAAGCCATCTTGTTGCAGAAGAGTCCAGGAGGACAAAGCTAGCTCAATAACAAGGAAATTTATCTTGTTATTTTGCCAGAGACAATTTAATTCACTTCCTTCTTGTTTTATTTATAGAACCACAGGTTTGGAGAGCACTGCAGATGCTCACACACTTCACAACTTTTTGCTTGTTCCATTGTTATATAAACCAGTGACCTTACTACTAAGCTGTAACTTATCACAGTGGCTAGGTCCACACTTCACATTATACTAAAACCAAATGTACCACATTATGACCTTCCATAAAGTATGATCCCAGCAAACCACCTTGGATCCAAACTATTTAAGGATCTACAGAGTATTTTTAGTTCCCTGAATTGTACCTAGAAGCAGATCATAGGGTTTATAGTCATGTACTTCCTGCATTAGACAGCCAGATTGGTGTAGCGGTTAAGGCACCAGGGTAGAAGCCAGGAGACTGAGTTCTAGTCC